GTAGAGCCCTGTGCAGGACTGTTTTCTTCATCCCGCTCCTGCCCGCTCCCGCTGAATTTCTGACCATTACTGCCCACAACTGCAACATGTGTGTTACACTCCTGCCCACTCCCACAATGTGTATGTCCACTCCTGCCCACTCCTGCAAAAGTCTGAGAATTTATGCCCGCACAATAATAGAGATGCATTGATTTTGTGTGTTCTCCCGTCCCGCAGGAGAAAACATGTCATTTTATAGGCTATTAATAAAGAGATTCATGGGGTTGTTTGTTTCGTTTCCCTGGTCTGCATGTCTTTTGACGCACTGGTCAGGAATAGCGCTCCTATTTCGTTGTTTTCATTTAGTTTTTAATGAAATAAAGGCTGTTTCATATTCTATTCTCCTCCTCTGTATTTCATTTATTTTTCTACCTTTATATAATCACGCAATGATTGAGGTTAAAGTCTCTTTTCTAAGAGAGACCTGAATAAGAAACATTAATGAGATAAAGATAAAGCCTATGCTCAATAACACCGGCATCATCATCATCACGCCTCTTTATGTAATTAACAAATAGCAACGAGAGTAGGCTGTGAGTGGCTCAAATAACAATAATAAATAACAGAAAATAAACAAAGTTACAGAATGAAACGAATGAATTTAACAAATGAATCACTTGGCCATAATATTGCTATGGAGAAGAGAATGTTGCTGAACGACTGCAGTCCCAATCCCGTGCGTCTCTCTTCCAAAATGCGCCCACAGACACTAAAGGTCCGCTCTGAAGGAGCACTGGATGCGGGGATACTGAAGATGAAACGCGCCAGCTTTGAGAGCACTGGGAAGTAGAGGGCTCAGTGCGCCTTCATACCTTGTTTGAGCTTCTTTTCCACATCATTTGTTAACTCCATCCTGTCGCTACAGGCTACATCCCGATCCTGCAGTGTTTTTTTTAGCCGCCCGTTCCCGCCCACAGCAAAGTTCAAACTGCCTACTCCCGCAAGATTTGGGTTGGGTCCCGCGGGACCCAATCCAAATGCAGCCCTCTACTTGGTGACATTTAGGAGAATAAGCCTGTTAAAGTATGAATATCCAACAGACCTTTTGTTGCAGTGAGTTATTAATCTATAAGCTTTGCATTGCTTGTTAACTCATGTCACATAGTCTATATCAGAATCAGTATTGAAATGTTTGATAAAGATGGTATATGTTGTAACAGTAACTATTTTACCTTGTCTGCCCCTGATAAAAATATAAGAAAATTAGTCAGTCAATGGAAAATGTTATTAGTATAGCAAGGAACATTACAGCAGTTATACAGCGGTGACTTGGGGCCCGGCATTTTGAGGAGGAGGAAGAAGGAGGATAAAAGGGGAATGATTAAAACAGGAAAAGGAGGAAGACAAATGAGAAGAGCATGCTAGAGGACAGCATTGGGATTGGGATCCCGCCATTACTGCAGGACCCAACTCAAATTATGCAGGAATGGGCGGTTTTATCGTTGCCGCAGGTGGGAGTGGATGGTCAACAGAAAGAAAAGTGTGGTCCTGGAGTTTAGTGAACATAAAGGATGGAGACGTCAACAAGTGAAGTGGAAGAGAAGTTAAAAGCAGGACATTACAATACAAAAAAGTGAGGCAAGTCAGAAATTTGGAGGAATTTCACAGGAATATTACAGATAATAACACTGAATCCCAGAAACACAAGATTAACTGTAATTATGAATGTAATTACGCACTAGAACACAGTTTTGCTACTTATTACTGACAGGTATGCATATCTTTCTTAGTACCACAGTAAAATAACATGATTTCTATGGGAGAAGTCTCAGTCTACTGATAATAAATCTATCATGCAGGAATGTATGGTCAGAATGTTTGTGGGTGCAGTGGGAGCTGACACACACTCTGCGGTAATCAGCGAGAATAGATAACACACCCTGCAGGATGGGGCAGAAATGTTCAGAAATCTAGTGGGAGTGAGCAGGAGTGGGATTAAGCGGCCTGGTCTTT